ACATATATATATATTATGTATATATGCAATATAAATTCATTGTTCCACTATAATTTTACCTACTTACGCACTACACGAGCATACTTATCCTCTTGTAGAAAAATCTATAGTACATATGTACATACATTTGCCAAAACAGATGCGTGTTTACTTACCTTCAGCTCGTTTGTCTTTCTTGGCGTGCATACCCTTTAAGAGTCGCGTGAGTGGGCTTCCTACACTCCCATGTTTAGAATCATCTGAGTCTGAGATCGGAGTGTTGGAGATCCACCACATCTTGACATTATCGCCTTTTCCGTTTTTCTTTAATTTTTCTGCAGCACATGACAAAGGACAGTGCGCATTGAGTTTTGGAGTACCTTCAACACGCACGGAGAAGCGTTATCCTTGCCTTTGTTGTACATATTGGGAGGGAGTTGTCATATTGCAGATCCGAGAGGCAACTGTTGTATACAGGTATACATGTGCAACCTGAACGTTTGGGTGAAAACAAGGCGTAGAACGTACGTGTTCATATGAAAAGAACTTGTATATCAATGTACAAAGACATCTAAATATCTGTGTAAATATGTCGACATGAATATTTGATGTATATACATGAACGAAAACAATCGTATACGAAATTAATTACACAAACACTAAACATTCTGATATGCTGTAGATCGGCACGCTCCTGCAATTATGTACTTAACGTAAATAAAAACCTACACTACGATACAAAAGATTTATAATAATATGTACATACTCCCCAAATTCCTTGTTTTGAAATAAAGCATTTCGAACCCCTATTCAGTCAGATTGGTCATGTGCTAACATATACACATGTACTGTGGATTTCATAAACGTTTCATCAAAATGCACACAGTACAATTTCTGAAGGTTTTCAATCGAAAGTTTCCGATGTTTCTCATACCTGCAGCTCAGTTCGAACACCACACATATATATCGGTTATTACCATGCGAAATTCTGCATTCCGATCATTTTTGAGTACATAATCGTTTCCTTCACCCGAACACACCTTGAGAGAGCGAATCCCGATTTGCGACTACAAAACCTTCTCTTCTGGATGTGAAGCCTACGCCTGACGACGTAGTATTGCACTGTGCGTTTCAGTGTTTTAAGAATAGATAAATTGGCGTCAGAATAATAGTAGTCCACCGACGCAGCTTTGAAATTGCAAGCGATTCTGCAAGGTTCTGTTTATATCTGCACTTCTGTCAGGGTTCTCCATGGGGGTTAGAACAACTACCAGGAAACAAACATGAATGTACCCGGAGAGTGAATTTTCCAATCGTACACGAACGTTTGTGTATTAATAACCAGATTTCTGTATCAATATGCGAGCACAGACTTCTTTGTTTACCTCTGTGAATAACATTTGATGTTCCTCCTTATCTAAGCGACTGGGATCAAACACTCGCGCCATTTTCTCGGGACTTGATTCAACCTCCAGACCCAAACACCTCAGGAATTCAATGTAGAATGATGCATCCCTAAAAGCGATGACGACAAAAGCGATATAAGGCATATGCGAACAATTATTTCCGTGACATATGCAACACTGAAACTGCAAGATAAGCGTGGTAGGTTTCGGGTCTCAATAAGAAACCACGGATGCAAAAGCCATCTAAAAGCCATCTAAAGCTTAACTGTCTATTTTTCGTCTTATACATATCAACGCTCATAACGAATTAGAAATAGACAATAGGCGCTTCCATCACTCATGAAATAACATGTGAGTGGTGGATCTTTTAATAAAACTCGCATCCTATATCCAATAAACTATAAAACACACTACTGCGGGTTATATGGACTATCAGTATAGCATTTTGTGCATTGTGTATGCGTGTAGTTTCCACAGGCAAGGTGACCTGTAAGACACACAAGAATATCGCGATTCACTGCAATACCGCATGTGTTACATACATTACTCGGGTTCTTAGTTGCAATACCGCATGTGCTACATACATTACTCGGACCCTTAGCTGCTTATCGGCCCGTCGCAACACAGTTTTAAGATGCTCATCGTTCAGGCACGCAGCTTCGACTCCGTTGATTGATACAATGGCTTGGTAGAGGGGCAGGTTCGCTTTCTCTGCGGGTGACTCACTGTTTAAAATACGAATGAGTAAGGTACCCATGATCCACAAATTCTTCTCCATTTCGGACATACAATTATATTGGGAGAAGCAGCTATCTATAATGTAGTAAGGAACTTTTAAGCGGAGGGTCGGTTTGTCTGCAATTGAATACTAGGAAATCGATTTTTGTTCTTAATAGGGTAGCTACGATAATAGAAGCACCACTTGTTGTATCTTTAATGGAATAGCCCTTCCACTTCTTAGAATAGTTATCTAACTTCTTGAGCTACTATCCAGTTGTAACCGAGAATTTAATTTGCCCCTCCGTTAAAGCAAAAGGGATAAATAACAGGCATTCTTGGCAGATGTCAGGTATATAGTTTTTGCCCATTTATTTGGCTCACTGGCAAGGCAACAGCAATGACAAATCTTAAGTGTACAAATAAAAATTACAAAACGTTGAAGAAGTACCCGTATTTGCAGTGTAATTCACACATTTGCAACTCAAATATGTTGTAAACAACGCACACAGACAGGAAGGCGATAAACTTTGCTATCATTTATATTGGTGGGTTTGAGATAATTTTGGACTGTACATACTTATCATATGTACTGGAGCTGACGATATTGTCTTCGACGGTGAAGCCCCATTTTTCGTCCCGATTCTCTCTCACTAGGGAATAGCAAGGTTGTTTGATGATCCGTAATACAACTGAGGAGTCTTTGTTGATAATCTTTACAGCTTTTGAAGTGGCGAGATTCTCGGATTTCGTATCTGACAAATAATTGAACCAAGAAAGACAGATTTGATATAAATAACGTTATGAAGCGAGTGTGTAAATCCCCGTCACAGTGTATTATGTCGCTACTGCTCCTCTTGAAAACTCGTCATTAATAATAATCACAGTTCTGAATTACATTCACCCTACTTGATACTCGAGAAAAAAAACTTGTATATACCGAGTATCTATCTTTCAACAAATTTGCCGAAGCATCGGTTCATTTTCTTCGTCGTAGATGACGTGCCTTGGAACATCCTGACATGAACTAAAACGAAAACAACAACTGAAAACACTCAACAGTCTGTAATCTTCACCCTAATACACCCATACTGCTTAAAAGTCAGTGCACCCATCACAAATGCGCATCGTTTTCCTCAAGGAAAATTTTGCCAAAAATTTGATCGCTTCCTTTCTTGATACTTCGAGGAACCTGATAAATCAAATCATACCTATATTGTTAATGCGTGTTATAACGTCACCGAACCGAATGCCAGCGCCATGCGCGATGGAATTTGAGATGACATTAATGACGAACAATCCAAAGTTATCCACTCTTTTGATTTGCATTCCATAAGGTGTGGATGCTGATTCATTATACGATGCTATCTTGAATAGCTCGACCTCCATAAGGTATCGGTATGCCTCCGATGTCATGATTGTATTTTGCTGGACAGTATGTGCTATTATGGATCGCTAATATACGATCTATAGTCAATATATGTTACTGCTTGGCCAGAAAACTCATGCACTCTCTAATCGCGCTTGTTGGGACTAAGTATATAATGTGTTCTTGAATGAACATGTAAAGCAATCTCGTTTGCATTTTTCCTTCCACACGTTTCTAAATGACTAGATTGCGCGTGTTTGTGTTGCTCAGATGAACGTGCATGAAGTAAATATGACGGCGTTTCTTCAAATTCTGATTATCGCCCAAGTGCCCCCTCACCCTGTCTGTGGATAATCAAAAAGGTTGTGAATATTTGTGCATCTTAAATTTCACCTCCATACCTTTTTTAAAAAACAAAATAGCTAAAATTCCATAGCCTCCACAAGGAGGCTATGAATGTTCACAAATATTTCTATTGTTTTTCGAGAGAAAAAACAAAATACTGTTGTCAGAAATGACTGAGAAATCTGAGAAATAAAAACAAAACAAATAAAAGAATAACGAATGTATAATTTAGAACAGCTCATTCCGTTATTCGCTAAACGGTTAAATTTTTCTTATAAGTTCAACGTTTAATTCATATATGTGGTCCCAAATCCATATAGAGGGGTTATTTTCCAGGTCAGAGCATAGCTGACAATTTTGGCCTATATTGTATGTATATTCCCCTGCCGCCACTTTCGCCTATCCCAACGTTCGGTTTGGATTGACATGGATCAGTGTAAGGCATTTACATTCATTGCGAGGTCTATCATTATCATGTTCACTGCACAGTTGTCCATACAATTCTGTAGAATATTTTTAATGTAGCGACTACTAGTACATATTACGTACATAGACAATATGTTTAATGGTTATTTATAACTTTATATATGTAAGGGGTGCTTTGTATTTTATTTTATTTTTATGGAAATAGACAAAAGCGTGCCAGTTTTTACTATCCGACTGCTGACTTGATTTGACACAAAAGTAGAGATTTCATGTTTCATTGTGTAAGTGTTTCATGGCCAAAAAAATATAGGTGTGTTTTCCAGGTCATATCTGCGAAAAAATTTCAGGTCAACTTACTTGCACAGAACGTTAAACGGCTTTATAAATAAAAGTATACGTTATACGTTCAGCGTTTATTTACAAATGGCATAACGTTATGAGGTCTGATTTAGGAGGCTATGAACGAACACAATTTTTATTTTTTAAAGAGCAATTTGTTTTTTAATCTGTCTTCTTCTTTTAAAAATGTTTTTGGTTTTTTCAAAAACTAGTTGTTTAAAAAAAAATCAGATATCATAAATACCAACTCTATGAACTTTTATCAGATATTTTTAATGAGAAATTTCTATACAACCAGAAGAACTACAAAATTGCAAAAATGCAAATTCCCAGGCCCAGCTGAACACATAAAGTCAAAAACTGAAAGCACAACAATTTTTTAAACCATTTGTCACAGAAAATCAGAAACGCAAAACAATTGGCCAATTTCCAACTGATAGAGTTTTTTTGAAGCCAATAGAATCACTGAAATTAAACATACTTTCATTGGTCAATATCAGTTTTAAATTTTCAAACTTCGAACTCTTTCTCTCAAACTCTCTCTCTTGTTGTCTACAAAAATATGCCCACAACCTCACACGGCTCACAGCCTCGCCCTCATCCCCACTGGGGCCCTATCATAGTTATGGCCTCCGCCCTGCGGGCATAAATAATTACTACATAAATATATGCCTCCTGTACAACCCTGTATACAACTAGATATAAACCAATAGAATCTAATAGATTTCTTTACCATCGAAAATATTGGCCGCTTTTCAAGATGCACGAGACTTAGAAAATTTTCATTTAAAAAAAAACACCATCTGGAATATATATACACGGAGATATTTACACAAGTATAGTAAAGTTAGTACGCAATAAGTGCTGTTTTGCAATAGGTGTACAGAATAAAGGTGAAATTCGGCATTCTGAGAATGCTGCCACCTTAGATTTGTCAAAAGATTTCCTTAGAGCTAATTGATTACCATATAGTACCGATATTTCTCTGGACCAGAATTTCGCAATGGAGATGTACAGCGCGCGTGAATTCGACAAGACAGTGTCAGAACTCAAACACACACACACACGCACGCACACACACACACACATACATATA